CACATATACAACCTTGCAGTGGCCAGCGCCTGGATGGTCTCAGGGGCCCTCAACTACCTCAAGTTCTCTGAGTACTTGTGGAAGTTCCCAGCCTCAGAGCAGCTGGAGAGCGTCACCCACAAGGCCTTCCAGGCCCTAGACAAGGACAGGGGTGGCTTCACTGAGTCGAATGAGATCAAGCAAGGAGGGTGAAGAAGGGGCCAGCTGCCACACTGCCTACCTGGAAGGAGGTACAGCCCAGCTGGCCCGAGTCAGGGGCCAGGGCCCAGGGCTGGGGGCACCCTCTCCTGGGCTTCAGTTTCCCCATGTGTAAAGGGGAGGGAGGGAGCACCTGTAAGCACTGGGCACAGCTCCTTGACTGATTTGTGCCTCTCAGCCCAGGTACATCCTGTCCACCCACCTCATCGGCGTCCCTATCACTCTCCTGACCAATGAGGAGGTTGAGACCATAACCCAGACAGCTGACATGCATGGATTGACTATGAAAGTGGGGCACACCGCTGGGATTCGGGGAACCCTGCTAATCCCCACCTCACGGTGACAGCCCTTGGGCAGTTGCAGTTAGGGGACAGCACCGAGTGTGCTCCCCAACTGCCCAGCCCTCAGCTTGCCCCAAGTCTAGGCCCCATCTCTACCTCCTGGGGCTGGCATATGGGTGGCCTAAGGCTTAAAAGAGGGGGTTTGCTCAGGACTCAGCACCCCTCTCTGTCCTCTGTTTTCACACTGAGAAAGGCTGGGCAATCACAGGCCCCTGCTCAGCAAGGTCTGGTGGGAATTCCTAAGGGTCTCCATAGAGACTCAGTCATTGTATCCCCAGGCAGGGGCCTAGCACTATTGCCGAAGGACTGGTTCAAGGCAAACAGCAATGTCTCTGGCCCTCTTGTACACACTAGGGGCCTGGAGTGGGGCGGTCCCCAGACTGAGACCCTCATAAAAGGCATCCTCCTCATCTCTAGGTTGAAGGGTCTATATAGCCTGGAAGGTGAACCACAAAACAAGGTATTTATGGGAAATCGGTTTCTTGCTCCAGTTTTCTGAACATACGAAAAAGGAGAAAATTCCAAAGAAGAAACAGCATGACTTTCCCTGGACCTGTTTGGGGTAGGGAAGGGGTGTACTGGGGTGGGCGTCACCTGGGTAGAGGAGGCCACGAGGACAGACGCTGCTTTTACCAGGAAAGTAGAAGAAAAATAGCTTCGAATGAACACGGTGGTCTTGTGTTTGTGGGGTATGCAGGCAGGAACTGGATGCTGGGGGAGGTAGGCATGCAGAATTGCCCCCTACACCTGGGCCCCACCTGATTAGTGGCACCTTGGGCCTCCTGGACCCAGCCCGCCTCTCAGCCTGGTGCCTCCTGGGCCTAGAGCCCTGAAAGGCCCCTTTCCTGATGGCCCTGGGCTTGGTCCCCCCAGCCCCACACCCCCTGCCTCACATAGCAGCTGTATGGCCATGGCTCGGGCATGGTACCCAGGGCAAGCGGAGTGGTGCCCCGCAGCCTCTCTCCAGGGCCAGAGACTGCAGGTGGCAACTCTTATCTTGTCTCCTCCTACTTCTGGTCCTGATTCCCCCCATGCTCAACTTCCATGGCTCTCCCTTGTCCCGGGATCTTCTGGTAGGAGACGCGAGGGCCAGGAGTCAGCCTTGTGCCCTCAATGCGGGGGCTCCCTGGTCCGTATCCAGGTAAGTACCACCTGGACACGGTCCTGCTGTCCAGGGTGAGCTGTAAGGGCAGGGTCACCTTGATACCGTTCACAGGAAGTGGGTGGCCCCCTCCAGGCATGCCTGTCCCCAGGCCTTGGCACGGCTTGTTCCTCAGCCTAGCATGCTCTCCACTGCCCAATGAACTCCCTCTGCTCTTTCAATCTTCCCCAGATGTCACACCCTGTGAGGTTGATCTCGACACAATCTCATGCATCGCTACCCTCCTTGGGCATCCCATAGTCTCTTTCCCTACAGTAATCCCATCCCTTAATCCAATAATATTTACTATGGATTATGGTTTTTTTTAATATATAAGCAGGCAAAACACTCAGGGCATGGGGTGCTGAGACTCTAGAGATGGGGAAGCCTGCAGAGACTGTGGCACCGGTCTCCTCGGCAGACGCTTTGTATTCAGTGATCAGTCTGGGCCCAGTGGTCTCCCAGGTGTTTCGTACCCACCAGGGAGAGGCTCTGGCTGCAGCTTCTGTGGGGGTACCCACAAGGAGTCAGAATGGCCCTCCCAAACCAGTCCTCCCAGACCAGAGCTCATCTATGGTCAGCCCAGACCTGGGACATCAGCCCCCATCCCTCCTCTTGCTGTTCGCCCTAGGTCTGGGTCAGCAGATGATGTCTCCAACTTGCTTCGCATATTATCCGTGGCTGCTGTTGTGCTGTGCTTAACTACAGGGCCACAGGAAATAAAAAGGAAGGCAAAGATACATCATGCCACCTGTACTAAACACGGAAAGCTGGTGCCACTAAACTACTATCAGATAAAGCCAACGTGAAGGCAAAGAAGCACTTCTAGGGTCAGAGGAATGGTTCATAATGCTACGGGTCAGTTGGCAGGGAGTCCGCATTGCCCTAATGGGTGTACCTCTAACAATACAGCTTCAAGATGCAGAAAGCAAACATGAGCAAAGCACAGCAAGCAAGAGACGATGCACAAATGCAGCAGGGGATTTCAGCCTTCCTGTCTTCGGTGCTGTAGAGCACGTAGCAAAGAAGTCAGTACGGCTGCAGCAGCCAGGAAACAGTGAATTCCCAGGACTTCTGTGGTACACATACCACCCTGCATCTGACAACTGCAGACCAGTCTCTTAAAATACACAGGTGTACTATTAACCAAAATTGCCCAAATGTGGGGTCATAACACAAGTCTCCATCAAGTCGAAGAACTGAAATAACATGGAACATATCCCACGACCCCAGGGAAGGTAAGCCAGAAATCAAAGATGAAGAAAAGCAGTGCAATCTGAACAAACCATGGTTCAAAGAAAGCACTATGGAAATTAGAAAATATTTTGGACCTAAGGATAAGGAAAATACAACACACCAATCCTTGTATTGGCAGCCCCAATTATTGAAAGGCAAAAGGGCTGGCAATCAACGATCCATAAATAAGTATCCTTCTCAAGAAGTTAGAAAAAGAACAAGTTAGACTCACAGAAAAGAGAAGGAAGGAAATAAAAGGCAGGAATTCTGAAACATTAAGTGCCCTGCTTTTTGTTCCCTCTCCCCCTGCCCTTCCCATCCCCCATGGTTGGGAGGGGAACGGAACTGGGGGAGGCAACCTAGCTCCTGAGGTGGCAAAGATGGAGAGTCCCAGGTGTGTGTCCTGCCAGGTGACGCCCAGTCCTGCCTCCCCCTACCCTGTCTTCTCATCCATCAGACACTCGAAGTACCTGCAGCAGAAGGGGCTGGAAGGCCGAGGCATCGCATTATGACCTGGGCTTTCTAACAACTACTCCAGAGCCCAGGGCCAGCCCCCACTAGCTTTGCCTGGTCCTGTCATCATCAGAAAGCAGAGGGCCAGGGATGTAGCTGCCTTTGCCTGTCTGCAGAGGTCACCTTTTGCTCCCATCTGCTCAATACCTTACCTGCAAAAATCCCTAGTTTAGCAATCAAGAGTCACTTCCCCCAGCAATGTCTAACATCAGGGATTTTTTGCTGCAGTATGCAGTTGTACCAGAAAAGCAAGCCAGTCCCCCAGTTTGGTCCCCTCACCACTGTGGACCTGGTCCTCTCGGGCTATAGCTGCAGCTGGAGGCACCGGGCCAGACCCAGAGCCTGACAGACTGCAGCTCCCCTCAGAGGCCATGCCCCCCGTGGCACTCACTCTTGCATCCAGGGCTTCCCTTCAGAACCTCTGGCAGAGGGGGGCAGGCTGCAGGCAGGTGGGGAAGGGCTCAGGGCAAAGCTGGCCCAGAGCAGAGGTGGTAGCTGGGACGAGAGGCGTAGGAGGTTGAGGTTCTGCTGACCTGTGTGTGCTCTTGTGACAGACCCTGGTGCTGCCTCTTCCAGCCAAGCCTCCATTTCTGCCCTTGGCCTATGTGCACAGGCCTCGTGCAGTTTGCACTGTCTGAATTCCCTTTTGACTTGGGCTATGCACTCAGAACTTGGGGATGGAAGCTGGTGGCCCTGCACCCTGTACCCCCTGCCACGGAGGGACACTCTATCGTTTGCAGTCTCTGCACACCAGAACCCAGCCTGTGATCAGGAACCATGCCAGCTCTTCTCTGGGGACAAGAAAGAGGAGATGGCTCCATGTCCAGGAGTGACCAGCCAGGGTCTGGGCGGAGCCACAGGTGAGGAAGACTTCAGAGCAGGCCCTTGCAGCAGGGCCAGACGTCACCAGCAGCAGGGGTCACCTGCGAGCTACAGGGGTCTTCCCGGGATCCTGGGCACCCTGCTGCAGTGAGGCCACAGAGGTCCAGGACGATGGGTCTCCCCGATGGAGGCTGGGGTGGGTCAGCGGCATCGCAGCTGACCCAAAGCCTGGTCCTGGGATGATGAGGCCTTCCTGGTAGTCCCCTCCCTCATTTCCACCTCTGTCCGCGTGAGCTGCAGCCCTCACTTCTGCCTGCCAAGGGCCCACCCAGCCAGGCACAGGGTGCTCAGCTGGCTCTGCAGTGGCACTGCCACATGCAGAGGAGCTACTCTGTGCTTGAGGATGGACTGGTGCTGCTCAACTCACAGCAGCCTGCCCAGTCTGCCTTTCTGGAGGGCTCCAGGCTGCTACACCTCAACGGTGAGGGGGTGGGGAAACGCTCCTTCCAGGGGGTGAGATCTGAGAGTTCCCACCCAGCCAGGCCGGGGACAAAGGGTACTCTGTGCTCAGGCTGGACCAGAGGCTTAGGGCCACAGGGCAAGGCAGGGCACTGGAAGGGGGAGCTGTGAGAGAAGGGGGAAGAGAGCAGGGAGGGACAGGAGCCAGCTCTGTGACCACGGTTCCCACGCCTGGCCACACTCCCATCCTAGCCCACAAGAGAAAGGCAAGCTGCACGAAACACTAAAAACCACTCCTCTTTTACTGTAAAACATGGCTGCAAACACTCTGACTATAGGCATCCTGAGGAAGAATGGGCAATGATGGGCTCACCCAGGGCTTGCCCCCCCTAGTGCAGCACGGTGCTGTAGTGGGCACAACCTGGGACCCCCAGTCACAGGGCCCAGCACCCGCATTGGCTTGTCCTCTGTCCCACAAGTGGCATCACTTGGCACTCAGAGGTGGCTGCCTGTGCTGCTCCAGTAGCTCCTCCAGGTGGTCAGCCCGCCTCACCGCGGCCTGTAATGCACCAGGGTCAGGTGTGGGGCCCACCGCAGGGACAATGCAGGGTGACAAAGGGCCTCTCAGGGACCCACCTCATGCTGCCTCCGGAGGCTGTTCACGGCTTCTTCCTTCTTGGCCAGGGCAGTCTTCACCCTATGGCACAGTACAATGAGTGCCCCTGTAGTACTCACCCTCGACTGCGTATCAGCCTCCTGCCATGGTCCCTGCTGACCACAGCCCCCAAAACCAGCCCCTGGGCCACAAAAGAGGCCTCCGTGGGAATTAGAACCAAAAGTGGGGGTCCTGGAGTGGCTCGGGATGGGGCCTCTGCTGAGATAGGCATGAAGTCTCCATGCCCCCTATCAGGCCTGTGCAGGAGACAGGGAGGCTAAGGGGACCCTGGGGGCACACTGCTACCTTCCCTGTGCTTGCCCCTTCACACAAGGTCTGCCCCTCCTGGGCCTCCCCCTTGGGGCCTCTGGGCTGCTCCCTGGAGCTGGGGCCACATAAGCAAAGAAGGCATCTGACCCAAATGCCAACCCAATTGCCCTCTTTGGCTGTCCCTCTGGCTTGGCATTGTGGGGGGCCTGCCTGCTCCCCTGCCTATCCTACCCCCCATTCAGCCCCTGCCATCCCAGCTGCCCACCTGCGGTGCACCTCATCCAGCTCCAGCTGCTGGCGAGCCTGCAACTCTGCCAGCTTGGCCTTGACCTGTCGATTCTCCTCCTCAGATGCAGCCAGCCGGTCAGCAAACTCCTGGCGGACCATCTGGGTCACACTGCTGCGCTCACCAGACAGCTGTGCATTCACCTGGGGACAGGACAGGCAGTGGGAGGCTGGCAGTGGGGCTGGAGGGCTGTGTATGCAGGAGAGGGCTGGGGACACTCACTGCCCGCACATCCTCCAGCTCCTTCTCCTTCTGCCGCACCAGGGCCTGCAGACGCTCCTTCTCCCCCTCTGCCTCCCCCAGACGCCCCTTCAGCTCTGTGCACCGCTCCTGAAGCTTCCGTTCTGACTGCTCCAGTTCCGAGAGCTCGGTCTCGTACTTGTCGCGCACACGCTTGACGCTGGCAAGTGGGCAGAGGGGCAAGGTGGCAGGGGACCTAAATAATCCACTGCTCTCCACATCTCAGCCCCTGGACCTCCCCTGGCCTTGGCCACCCAAGGCAGCCCCAGCTCACAGGCTCATGGCAGGCAGGGCCTCACCGGCTTTCAGCTGCCCTCTCTGTCTCCTCCTTGGCCAGTGTCATGTCAGCTTCCAACCGGTGGATAACCAGCTCAATCTCCTGGTCCCGTCCCTTCCGGATTTCCTCTTTCAGCTCTCGTTCCCGGTTCAGGAGCCATGCCTCCTGCAGGGACACATGGCTGGCTCAGGAACTGCTATCAAGAGGGCAGGGGACAGGGGAGGGAAAGGCAGGGACTGCCACACACGGCTCCCCTGCTCTGAACCACAAGAGATACACAGATTCAAGGGAACAAAGGGGCCTGGCCCTGCCTTGGGAGGAGGGGGGTTGTCCTGAATAGGACCTAGTGTGGACATGGGACAAGAAGGGCCTGGAAAAGAGGCAGACACTGGCAGGGCAGCCCCTCAGCTAGTAAGAGTGTGAATGGGGCTAGCTCAAGGAAGCAGCTAGAAATCCTCCAGGAAACACAGGAGACCAAAGCAGCAGCCCCTTAGAGGGCTGGGGCCAGCTGGTGCAAGGCCACAGGTGGGTTGACTCCTGGGGACAAGGGCCACAATCCTGGTTCCCTCAGCCCAGCCCCATCCAGGTGCTTTCTGTCTCCTTCCCAACTCCTTAACCTTCCTGGAGCCAGGTAAGAACTGGGACAGTAGCACAAAAGCTCAGGATCAGCCTCAGCCCTAAAACAGCCATGCGACCTGAGAAGCAACCCCCCCACCCCACCCAGGCCCACCTCCTTCTTGGCACAGCTGGCAACCCATGCTTGTCGCTCCAACTCCAGCTGGTCCTTCAGGGCCTTCAGCTCCATCTGGTCAAGGATAGGGACAAGCCATGGCAACCACCTTGTGGCCTAGTTGGTTCACAGCCGTGCCCTCTGCCCCAGCCACAACCCTGCCCAGGGCCCAACCTGTTCAGGGCCCTGAACACCCACAGGGCCCCACCCAGGGCCAGCAGCCTGCAGAGTTAAGCAACAGAGACGCTGCCCTACTGGATCCCAGGCTGGGCACAGTGCTCCAAGGGGGACAGGGAGAGAAGACCTGGTGCCGCTGCTCTTGCTCCTCCCTGCCCTTCTCAAACTCGGCCCTCAGGGCTCTGGTCAGCGCTGAGCTGCTCTCCTCCAGCTCTGCCCGCTGCCTGGAGGAAGGGTGTGGGGTCAGAGGGCAAAGGGCCTTGGAAGGGGCCAAGCAAGGGGTCCCTATGTGAAGGGGCTGTGCCCTCTATGCACCTGGCTGCTTGCTGGCCCAGCCGCTCCCTCTCTTCAGCCACCTCACTGTACAGCCGCCGTCGCTGCTGCTCCAAGGCCCGCTGTTCCTGCTCCAGGTGCTGCTCAAACCTGCGGGATGGTGGGACTGGTTCATGCAGGCATGGCCAAGAGCCCCAGGCCACTGATACCTACAGACATGGACCATCCCTGGCCATGGTCCTGGCTCACCAGGTCCAGAGTCTGCAGACACAACTGGTCACACCTTACATACGCGTTGGATTAACTGCCCACTCTGGAGCTGAGGGATGGATGAAAGAGGTGGCCCTCGGCACCAGAAGTGCTGAGAAGCTATGTGCCCAAGGGTTGGAGGCTCTGGGGCCACTATGAATGTCTGGACATCTCATGAGAACTACAAACCCAATCTCTCACAGGAACCCCTCACTGCACCTGGCCAGTGGCTGGGGGACGGACACTCAGCCCAGTGCAGCCCACTAACTGTCGCTGTGGGAGGCAAGAGTGCTGCTCTGGGAGCACAGCTCCTACACCATTTCTGGAGCCCACACAGTTCAGAAATGCAGTGGGCCCAAGCCTTAGGCTGAAGGTCCCACACAGGGACACCCACCGCTGCCGGGCACGCTCGCGTTCCTGCTGGCCCAGTGCCTCCTTCTCCCGCTCCACATTCTCCCGCAGCTCCTCAGCCTGGCGCAGGTAGCGCTGTGCAGCCTGCTCCTCACGCTGCAGCAGCTCTGCTTCATGCAGGTCCCTGAGCCTCCGGACTTCCTGCTTGTGCTTGGCGATGAGCTTCTGGATCTCGGGCTCTAGACCTAAGAAGGGTGACCAGCTGCAGAGGAGGAGGGGGGTCCCATCACTGGAACAAGGAAATGGGGGACCCCATCCTTTGATAGGACCCCACCTCCCACTGAAAGGACGCAGCCCACCACGGCCACTCAGGGCCCTGCAGAAGCAGAGCTGAGTGGAAGTGCCCAGGTGGGGGAAGAGCCTGGGAGCCCTGGTGAGTTCTGCAGCTGGAGCCACCACACACCCCTCCCACCACATCTCTCCCAACCTATGGTAAGCACACCCCCACCCAAACCCTGTGCTCCAACCACTGGGCATCCCCGTGAGGGTACCCAAGGCTCTGGTACAAGACGCCAGGCCAGAGGAGTCTTGCACACCACTGAAGCATGCACAGCTCCTTCAGACACCAATCCCAAGAGCCCAGATCTCCTCAGCCACCTCTTCCCTGCCCTTGCAGCGTGTCCTGCATGCCAATTGCTTATTAACCCTGATTTCTCCAAGCTCAGCCCGTGGGGAGATGCTGCTCCCAGTGCAGGCCTCTCTGGCCAAGGCTGGCACAGGCTGGTGTGGGCCCTGCCGTCTCCTGTTCCAGGACAGCTACTATCTCTAATGTTGCTGCCTCTCCAAGGAAGGTCTTCTGCTAAACATGCAATGGAAGCCACTGCTCACTCTCCAGGGTCCCCCAGTAGCACCCACCTCTGATGGTGGTCCCAGCTCTGATGATGACCTCCTTGGTCCCCTCCCCCAAGTAGCCCCGACTCTGACAGTGACCTCAGTCTTTCAGGGACCACACCTCTGACAGTGATCTCCTTGATCTTTTTGGTCTTCTCATTGATCCACTTTTCCCGGCGGACTTTCTCAGTGGCACTCATAAGTTCTTTGAGTTTCTTAATCTCCTAGGAGTGGGAACACAGGAAGTTGAAAAGAACAGATGCAAACAACACACCCTGCCCTTTGTCATGTCCTGGGTTTGCATACCACGGAGCTCCTCTGTCTTCCCAAAGGGACAAGCTAGGCTGGAGGCTGGGGGCCTCTGCTACCATACTTGAGAGGCAAGAGGGACGGTCAGCAGCCTGCAGAAGCCCCGCCACAGACACTCTGGGACTTGCCCAGAGCCAAAGTTCTGCTTGTGGCTGGGAGTCCTCAACCCTGGGTGCCAGCTATGGACACCAGGACCTTTTAGAATTCCAGTATCACTCCCAATCTGGGCACAGGTCTGGGGTGGGCCTATGGGAAGCTGCGCCAGCCAGGCTGACACAGTAGGGAAAATTAGCAGGTCCCACTGCCTGGGGACCCATGCTGGTTGGAGCAGACTTGGACTCCAGGGTCCACAGCCCACTGCCTTATGAGAAGGGCCAGGCAGGCAAGTGTCTTCACACAGGACTCCTCAAGGCCTAGCTCTCCTGCACAGTGAGAACAGCTCAAGGGGAAGGAGAGGAACTGGGGATGAGTACTGGGGAACAGCTCCCCATCTGGCCCCCTCAGCCCATGTTCCTAGACTGCTGCTGTGATAGCCCCAGAATCTGCTGTCTACCACCCGCAGGGCCCCAACATCCTGACGTGGGAGTGATACGCCTCCTTGGTATCCTACTCCATTCTAAAGCGCCCTGCCTGGCGGCACAAGGATGAGGACCAGCCCGGCTCACAGTAGGATGGGGGTCACACCAGCTCATGCTGCTCCTGCATCTGGGCCAGGCGCTCCCGACACCGCTGGTCCCCCTGCTTCAGTTCCGCCACCAGTGCCTCACACTTCTCATTCAGAACCTTCTTGTCTTCGATCAGCTGTGACAAGGTGAGGAGATAAGGCTGTGTTAAGAGCCCACCCCAGGGGGTGCTCCCTGGGGCCACCCCCTTCCTCTTGCTATGACTGGACCCTGGGGTCAGTGGGAGCACTGCATGTGCATATGACACAGGGCTCCACTGATGCCTAGTCTCAACCCAGAGAATGGAGCAGATGCCAGAGAAGTCCCAGTGGGGTCGGGAGGCTAGGCCCTGCCGTGACCACAACCAGAATCTTCCTAGGATGAGGAGCACTGCGGCACCTACCACCTGCTCCATGCCTACCAGGAAGCACCTGTGAAGCTCTAGGAACCACCCACCAGGGGCCCACATCAGACTCCAGAGTTAGACGGCTCAGATGAGCACTGAGCAGCAGTCACTGGGGCACTGCCTCCTCCCAGACCCCAGGCCTGGAGTCCTCTCCAGAACAGGAGCCAGCGGGCAGTGACCAAGCAGCGCAGCAGCCCAGCAGCCCCTTCAGCCCAGGCGTGGCCTCCTGCACTGCCCCTGAGACAGCATAGTAAACGTCTGAAATGTGCGTCCAGGGTGCCTCCCACTAGCCAGCCAGCTCCAGAGCTGCCAAGTCCCTCTCAGGGACCTGCTCGCTCTCCCCTGCCCAATGCTCCTGCGGCCCACTGTGCCCAGCTCGAAGGAGGGCAAGACGTGAGTGACCTCTGGCTGGCACTGTTTGATAGAGGGACAGGGACAAACATAGGAGACCCTGTCTGGGACCCAATCCTGTCCCTCGGACCCAAATCCCATACTCAGCTGTGGGGCAATGTCACCTGGTCAATGAAGGTCAGATGCCGCTGGATGGTGGCCTCATAGTGCTCCTTCTGCTGCCGCAGCTGCCGGCTCAGCTCCTTCTCCGTTTCCTTGACCCGTCTGACAGTGAGGTCACGCTGCTGTGCCTGTGGGGGTACAGAAGGGAGGGAGGGAAGAGCTGGCACCAGGTCTCCACAGAGTCAGGGCTAGGTACTGATATCCATGCAGGGGAGAAGGCAAGACAGGGCCTCTGGAAAAATGCAGCAGCCCTGGCTTCTGAGGCAAGGTGCTGGCAGAGGCCAGGCTCCCCCTGGGACAGTGGCACCCACGGCCCTACCAGTGCTTTCTGCAGCAGCACCATGGCTTGCTTCTTCTCCTCCACTTCCAGCTTCAGCCGCATCACGGACGCATTCCCCCTGGACACCAGCTCCGGATGGCCTCGCCCTGCCTCGGGCACCTGCCTCTGCTACATGTCTGAGCGTCAGGCAGGCAGCCCGTTGCCTACTACCCATCTGGCGGGTGGCTGGGGTGGCCAGGGACATGGTGTGACGCCCTGTCTGCCCCATCCTCTGTGGGGAACCTTTGCTTCCCCTCAGAAGGACCAGCCAGTCAGAGTGAAGGACAGGGTGACAATACCACTGCACAGAGGCTGCTTTCATTACCCAGGGGAGCGATCAACCACTAAAAAGGTCACATCTCCTGACCTTTCTGCCTGTAAATAGTAAACCCATTCCTGCTCCATGCAGCTGGCCACTGCTTGTCATCCAGGGCTGACACAGCCCAGGAGACATCAGGGCCCAGGGGTGCCAAAGGGGACCCATCCCAAGAGGACTCTTCCCTGCCAGCCTCTACCCCTTCTCAGAGCCCAGGCCCTGAGGGTCTGGGGCTTCTGTGTGTGGCCCTGGTGAATGGCCAGCTCCCACTGGGGGCCCAGGGGGACGCTGCCTAGTGATGGCCTCCTGCAGGGGGACGAGGGAGCAACTAGTGAGTGCCCACCTCCCTCTGAGGGCCCAGCCGGCTCTGCTCTGACTTCTCCATCTCGTCTAGGAAGCTCATGATGCTCTGCAGCTTGGCCTCTGAGAGGAGTGTTCCGTCCTCAGGGGGCCCAGGGGGTGCACTGAGTTTCCCAAATTTCTCCAGGTTGTCAGCTGTCAGGGAGCTGGTGTCATCTTCCTGTGGGGTTGGGAATCTAGCTGTTTGGGTAGCCAGAGAGTTCTGCCAGGAAGGGCAGGAGGGGGAGAGTTGAGAGGCAGCCAGGCCTGGGTCTGGGGGAAAGGGCCTCTCCAGTTGCCCCAGTCTTGGGGCACAACACTGGCAGAGAGGGCACCCGCCCTGTGGGTTACTGTGTACCTCAACTGCCAGGAGGCCACAGATAGGAAGGGACAGCAGGGCTCAACCAGGACTTCTCTATGCCTTGTTAAGTGGCAAATGACCCCTGTAGTGACCTCATGATCTGTGTGGACGGCAACAGAGCCTGGGCTGAGGTGAGTGGGCATGTGGGCTAGTCACCTCATCAATCCAGGCATATTTGTCCTTCTGATAGGCCCTGGGGCGGGGCAGTGGCTCTGGCTCCTCCTCTAGCAATCGTAGTGAGTCCAACAGCTGATCCAGGGTCGCCCTGGACTTGGCCCTGTTCCTAACAAGGGCCACTGTCTCCACATCTTCACTGGCCAGATCCTGAGAGTGGACAGCCTACAGCAGACAAGCAGAGAATGAGAACCCAGCTGGACCTAGTGGCTAAGATTTCACATCTCAGCCCAACCCAGCAGCATGCTCCCTGCCCCGTTCCACCTGGGAACATGTCTCAAGGGCCCTTTTCTGGGAAAACAGGCTCAGCTACTGGGCCTCTCACTGGGCAGCCTGGTGGCCTTGCTGTCCCCTAGTCTGAGTTTCTAGCTCTTCTTCTGTGGATGGAAATACAGGACCCTACCCAGGGCAAATGTGAAAATCCAACCAAAGTTCAGAGCAGTTCCAGGAGACCATGCCCCAGTGAGGGCTTCCCAGGTCACTGGCTCATCCTCAGCTAACTCATCCCCCTCCCCCAGGCAAAACATATAAGGGCTCCATGGCAGAGGTGGGGGCAGGGAAACTGGGCTCAGCCACCCCTGCCACCACTCGCCCTATGAAGGTGACATCAGGAAGCAAGGCTGTGTGCAGACCTGCAGCTTGTGCTCTGGAGATTGCTGGGGCTCTGGGGATGAGTTGGAGATGGGCAGGCAGGGGTCCCTCGGACTTGCAGGGTGGATGGTGGCACCTGCATAACAGAATACAGCACTGTCCCACCCAGGGCACTAACCCTAAGGAGCCCTGGGAAGGAACCAGGTACGGGGAGGCAGGTGTGACTCCACAAAGCAGAGACACTGGGGAGCCTTAGCCTTCAAGGTGTGGGGCTGGAAGAGCCAAGCAACCCCTGGGCTAGGGTCTCTGCCTGCTGGGTCCCTTGTCACAGCCTGGGCACCTCAAGTCCAGTCTATGAGTAAGTAGGGCAGGAGTGAAGACAAAGGGCCGGGGCTGGTGAGAGCCAAGGCCCCGACTGTGCATGTGGAAGCCACTAGCCAGGCGCAGCATGGGGCCCTGAGAGCATGCAGGCTATGCCACACCACCTCCCCATCACAAACCTCCTGAGGCTGACCCACAGTGCTCACCAGAGTTGCTGGCCTTGAGGCCCTGGGAAGCCGTGCTGCCTGGCATCAGGAGAGGCCTCTGGGTAGGCAGAGGCCGCCCTAGTGTTCTGGTTTCTGGGCTTTTCTTGGGCAGCTCAGCTTCCCCTGACTTCTGGGCTCTCTTCTCCCGCAGTTCCTGCAGAATAGGAGGAGGTCTCTGAGCAGTCCCTGGACAAGGATGACCCCTCACCCTCCTGTGGCCAGCTGTCCCCAGGATCAGTGCCACATAGTCAGGATGGGGTGTGGGAAGGTGTAGGGGCCCCTGCACCTGAATGGCCGCCCGCCTGGCCTGGCGAGCCTTCTCCTCTCGGGCCTTTTTCCTCGCCACTTCCTTCTGCCGGTGTAGCTCCAGGAGGTTCCCACCACCGAGTCGCTGTTGCTGCTGCTGCTCCTGCCAGGGAAGCCAAAGCCATGTGGTTTGAAGATAAGAAGATGGACAGAGACCCTGGACCAGCTAGGAAGTTTCCACTTGAGTCCTGCATCCCTGGGAGACTGTAGAGCTCACGGGGATGAGCAAAAGAGCCCTTCTAGACCCTGAACCTGCCACCTCTAGCCAACACAGCAAATCCCCACCCTGGGCACTGGCAGCTCAGCAGGGGAGACAACTCCACATTCTAGGAGCAGAAGCCTTGTAATGCGTCCTTCCAGGCCCGTAGACATGTCCTAACACCCTGTCCGGATGACAGTCACTAGAGGACCAAGGGTGTCCACAGATGGGTATGCACCTATGGATGATGCTAGGTCTTAATTCTCCCTGTCCCCCAAACTCTACCTATATGGTTTAAGACCCTAGGGTCTCTGGGCCCACCTTGAGTGCTCACAGACCTCTCGCTTGGATGCCAGCAGGTGCTCCAGGCTTCTGAATCCTGCATGGCGCTGCTGCACCTGGCGGCGGTACCAGCGCTGGATGGTGACAGCAGCCTGATTCACCTGGCGAATAAATCTGCCCAGAGAGCAAGGTGCAGGACTAAGAGGGGGCCCACAGCCATCCCCCTAATGGCCTGCAGGAAGCTGAAAATTGAAGGTCCAGCCAGGCAGAGTAAAGCTGGTGGCTGCGTGCATACACTGCTTTTCCATCCAGCCAGAACAAGACCGGGTCAGTACTTCCAGGCTCACTCCATTAAACCCCAAAATCAACCTTCTGGAGAAGTTGCTCGAGGAAAAGCAAGAATCGACTGATACTGTGTATAATCACTAGAAACTAGAAGGAACCCAAATGCCCACGCACTAGCTACAGAATGAACAGGTGCATCCAGGAGAGAGGATGCTACTCAGGAGCAAAGAACCACCAGCAGCCACGGGTCCTAGGCACAGGAGTCATGCACCACGGCTGCATTGACAGGCACCCCGGAAAAGGCAAGGCTACAGGCAACTAGGTTGGTGGAGCTGGGGCTGGGATGGGAGGTGGACTTTGTACAGTACATCTGTAGTTGTCACCATACACACTTTATTATAATACTCAAAATCGACTGAACCAAACTTCACTTTTGGTTCGAGGGTCCAGGCATAGATCCATTCAGCAAAGGCAACGAGAACCCAGTACATAGACAGTCATCTGCTGTGAAGGCCTGGGCTCTGGACGGTGACACCTGTCTACCCTGAGAGGCCTGTGCATGGAGGGCACCACCATGAAGCCTTCAAGGGGCTGCCAGCTCCTGGCCTCCCTTCCCAGTACCCTCTCACCTTGCCTGCTTACAGGGCTGGTTCTCTGGGCCCCCAACCCCTGGGCAGTGGGCCAGTGAGCCCAGGAGGTGCAGGCTCCTAGGAGGCAGGATGGGAGGTGCCAGGAGTGGCCATCTGGCCCTGAGCCATGGCCCTGTTGCCAAGGGCTATACTCTGCCAATCCATAACTCCAGGGTGAACACCCAGGATGAGGTCCTTCAGGTGTTTTTGTTCTTCTCAGTTTTATATTTTATTTCCCCTAAACATTTTATAATTAATAGTTTACTGAGGTATAATTTACATACTAGAAAATCCACCCATTTTTAGCATATAATTCCATGGTTTTTAGAAATCCAGAGCTATGCCACCATCAGTGCAATCCACTTCTGCTTCATCCCACTGCCACCCATGAGCTCTCCCCGACTCTAGGCCCGACCTAGCCCCAAGCAACTATTGCTCCGCTTCCTGCCTCTATACAACTGCCTTTCTTGGTGTGTCACACACAGGCGGAGTCATGTCAGGTGTGGCCTTTTCAGCCTCAGTGCTTTAAAACAATTATCAAATAGCACTGCTGCCCTGGAGATGTAGGCCCTAGCTCCCCAAAGTGCTCACCTCTCAGCCTCCTCTTCGGTTACCTCCTTCCGCCTGACGGGGGAGCTCCTCCCTGTGGCTGCACTCTGGGCTGGGTGGCAGCTGCTGGTGAAGTTCTTCCCAAAGCTGTTGCCCTCACTGCCCTCACTGGTGGCTGCCTTGATGATGTTGCTGGCAGGGAGAAGAAGAGGAGCCCAGCTCACTGCCCAGGGAAGCAGCTCTGCCCCCCGGGCATCAGGGAGCACCCCAAGAGGTGTATGGGCCACAGCATAAGGCCAGCCCTCCAGCTCCACCTGGCTAGAGCTACCTATACCCCAACAAGGTCTTATCAGTTGGCTCTCAAGCAAATAATTTATATTTAAAGACCAAGAAGTTCACAGAAGCTGCAGGAGCCCAGAGATAGATGGAGTCAAGAAACCCAAAAGGCCACTGACTGAGCAAAGCCCAGGAAGGAGCACAGGCATGAGCCCTCCTGCTCTGCCACCCACCTTCACTGTGACACCCCTTCAGCTCTGGACACGAGAGCAGCTTCCCCAAGAAGGGGCCACCCCAGGTGTGAGTCCTGGGCTTGGCCACGTCTGGTCTGTCTTCTCTGTCCCTGGGAAGCAGATCTGGACCTCATAAGCTCAGGTGACAGCACAGAGGATGGCAAGTGCCCTCACGTGTACACGCCTTGTAGGCTCCCGAAGTCAAGCCCTGGGCCACGTGCCTCCCAGTGGGTGCTGGCTTACTTGAGGGAGGGGGTGGTCTGGTTGGAGCTCTTGAGGGGGTGCGCCTTCTCCGAGGGGGTGTAGCGGTTGTGCACCATGGAGGTGACGCAGTTGCCCACAGCTCCCTTGTTGCTCCTGCCAGAGACACAGTAAGCTGCTAGCTGAGGAGGCAGACGGCCAAGATCATGTCTGCGGCACTGACTCTGGCCTGGAGGAGCTGCCTGCATCTCCTGTGACATCACCCGAGGGTCCCTTGGGGCCGCAGGTCTGTGTCTAATGAAGAAGCTGTGTTGGCACTGGGGAGCCCTCCTGGGCCCCAAGGGGGCAGCTGTGTTCCCAGTCCCACTGAGGTTAAGCAGAGCCACACTTGCCTTGCAGGCTTAGAAGTGGCCCAGAGGGGGCTTCCTCTAGGCCCCAACAACCCAGCTTAATGGCTGTGACGCTGTCAGCTACCACTCCCATACTCTGGCCATGTGCCTAGTGAGCCTGACCCTAAAAGCAACTGATGCAGCCCTGATGTGACCTGCTCCCTGCCCCCTGGAACACATACAGTCTCAAAGCTTAACCTAGGAAAAAAAAAAAGCTTAACCTAGGACCAGCCTTAGAAGCTACACAACAGAACCGCACAAGCCGCCAAGGGTGTCTTGGCCTCTGGAGGGAGAGGCTGTCTCATGAGGAGCTGGTGGGCAAAGGTGTGCCCTCTGACAGGCCTGGTGGGCCACAGCAAGCCTCATCCTTAAGCAGACAGACACCACTTGTCACCTGGTGGCCTCTTCCTTCACCATTGGTAAAGAAGGCCACGCATGCCAGGCATGGTGGCACAAGCCTGTAATCCCAGCACTCTGGGAGGCTGGAGCAGGAGAATCACAAATTGAAGCCTAGCCTGGGCAACTTAGTGACGTACAGACACTCTGCCTCAAAATTTTTTAAAATAGTAATAATAAAAAGCAGATGGCATAGCTCAGTGTGACAGCCCTACTTCAAGCCCCAGTGCCACGTACAAAACACCATTGCTTCCCTTCTCCACTCATTCATTCCCACAGACTGATCTAGCCACGAATCAGAGTCCTCAGCCAATGAGCCCCTGGCCAGGGCCATCCCATTACCTGCAAGGGTCCCACCTGTTGTTAGCAGTGAAGCTGGGTGCCAGGGTGCACTCCTTCCTCCGTGGGCCCACAGGGACATCAAGGGCACTGGCATTCTGAGTGTTGGCTGGGGAGCACATCCTGGGGTGCTCATCCTGTGGGTAACACAACGCCCCTCAGTATGGCCCAACATCAGCCCCTGCCTACCCAGCACTGCTGCACCCTAATCACAGGAGCCCACAATCCCCATGCAAGCAGCAGGCAGTGACCCAGGGCTCCTGAGATACAGCCTCGCACTGCCACTGCCCCCTTGCACAAAGGCAGTGATCCCAGGGGAGACTAGGACTTGTGGCCACCTCGTGCCTAACCTTACCAGTACATTCCAAGTGGCTGCCTTTTCACCAGATGGCTTGCTCAGACCCGCCGGCCTCCTTCTCCCACCAGGGCTCCCCTCGAACAGTGTCAGGAAGTCGGGGGACTCCACTGGCCTGTGTTACAACAAAGTCAACCAGCAGCGAAGTCAACCCCAGCAAGGAAGACAGAACCACGGCTTATAAGAGAGGGAGGGCCCAGGACACAAGGGACTCCGCTCCCAAGGCCGCAGCATAAGACAGTTTCTTAGCCCTGACACCACTGTACCCAGCAAAGGTGCCTCAGTGGGACGAGGCCTGGGGAGTTCCTGTCAAGCCGTGGCACAGGCTGCGTCCCATTCTGCCATGTGGAGCCTGGATGTCTGTGGCTAAGAGCCATAAATAGCTGCCCACCAGCAGCTGACACTCTCCTCCTCCCTGTGGATCGGGAGCTATTCAGGCTTGCAGCTCAGAGGATGTGAGGAGCCACCCCAGGTGACCCAGGACACTTCTTGCCCCACCTCTGAGCTGAATGGGAGCCAAGAGCTCCTGCCATTGCCTTGTGGAAGGCCACAACTGTAGCACAGCACAACTGTGATGGAAAATATAGTCCATCCGCATCTCAGTGCATTATTGAGCCACAAACAGGAACAAGGCACTGACATAGGCCGTGGCATGGCTGCCCCTTAAAGGTGTGATGCTCAGTAAAAGAGCCAGACCTAAGGCAGGCAAGATGGTGCTCACCTGTAAGCCCAACACTCCTGGAGGCTGAGGCAGGAGGATTCCAAGTGTGAGTCAACTTAGCAACTTAGTGAGACTAAAATAAAAGTAGAGGGCCAGCCAAATAGCTCAGCAGATTAATGCGCCTGCAAGCAGGTGCAGGGGCCGGGGTTCAATCCCCAGGCCTGCAGTGACAGCCCTGCCCCCAGGGTACACTGAGACAGCAACTGAGACTGGGCGTGGTAGTACACACCTGTAATCTCAGCTCTTGGGAGGCTGTAAACAGGCAGATCACTACGAGTCTGATCTAGTATGAGACCCTGAACACCCTGTAGGTCCTTCCCTAAAAATACTAAATAAATAAATATATAAAATAAAAATAGAAAGGGTTGGGGATGTAGCTCAGTGGGAAGGCCCTGGGTTTAATTCCTATTATCATGAGAGATAGGGTGGGAAAAAAAGAAAAAGAGACAGACAGAGAGAAAGAGACAGAGACAGACAGACTGAGAGGGCCAGGGGAGGAGGGAATGGAGGGGGGAGAGGAGGAAAAGGGACAAAATGAAATCAGGTCCTGGGCCCACTCGGTATGTTCCAGCTATGGGAACTCTCCAGAGCAGGCAGATCCTTCGGGGCAGGAGCCCCACTAGGGAGTGGCGCGGGCTGGAGGAAGGGAGGTGGACACTGACTACTAAGTGATACGTGGTTTCCTTTTAGGGTGATGAAAACATTCTAAATTTGATTGTGATGGTTCTACAATTCTGTGAACACACCTCAAAAAATCAGACCCTGTCTCAAAATAAAATACAAAAAGAGGGGCAGATGTAGCCCAGAGGCAGAGCTGAGTTCAGTTTCCAGTACTGCAACAAATAGATAAATATTTTTTAAAAGATCTGGGACGCCTTTCACCACTTCGGGTTCAAGCGCCAGGACCAGTTTTTCAAAAAGAAAGTAACTGATGTGCCCTCAGCTCTGAAGCATGTCACTGCTGTGTTTTGCAGGGCAGGAAGGTAGAGATGGCGGGAAGGCAGCGATGGCGGCAGCCAACCACATGGTGTTTCTCGCTAGGGCAGGGCTGGCAGGCAGCAGCCCAGAACCTCTGAGGAGCTTCCTGACTCTGACCTGGTCCCTGGCTACCTATGATGTCTGTTCTGAGCCCAGGAACTCCGTGGACACAACTGCTGGCAGCATGCCAGGGCACAGCGCTGCCCTCTTCTGAGGAGGCCACCACAGCCCCAACAGTACTTCCACAGTGACAAGCCTCTGGAGGAGACACATGCAGAAAGGCCCCCAGAATCCATCTGTACACAAAACAGGTCCTGGCAAACTTGACAAGGCCACCTTAGGGGTGCTGAGGGGTGGGTAGCATCCCAAATGAACCCCACTCTACTCCTTCCAGGGAGATGGTGTGGAGGACCACCCGAGCAGTTCTCCTTGAAAGAAGAGCAACTGTCTCCATTTTGACTGAGCCTCACCCTATTTCCTCCTATTGTTCTGTACAGAGCTGGCTGGGACTTCTGTTTATCCTTCAATTGGCCTTAAGCAATGTGTAGTGGTCTAGGTGAGGTGCTGGTGATAGTCTTTGAAGGTGGCATGTGTGTTTCCGTGGTAACCTATAACTGCTGCTCTTTAATGTGAGCTGGGTTGAGACAGGACGGGTTGAGACAGGACGAAGAGCCAAAGCTCTGTGCTGCCAGCTGGGATTGAGCCTCGAGATAGACGCTATGACTTCCTGGGGCTTGAAAGACTACATCAAAGCTGAAGCACCAGACCCCCCAAAACATTAGATACTATCTCAATAGCATAAAGCAGATTACTTTCTCTGCATCATCTCTGCATATGGCAGAGATAAATGTAGGCCACCCACCTAGCTCAGCTCACAGGAGTCACCCACTTCCCACAATTCTCGGTCATTCCTCCTCAAGCCACTCCTCCAGGTGAGGCCCTGGATCAACCTCTTTGTTCCTGAAAGCCATCTTTGTGGCTGGACTTAGAGCCCCTTAGCTCCCCAATAATTAAAAACATGTTTTAGTGTCTTTACTTTCACCATGGGTTGCATTGAAAGTGGTAGATTGGAATTAACTTGGTGGGATTCCAATAACGTAACTTTGGGATTACAAATATTGGCTTCTTGGTCTAACACGAGGACCTGAAGAGACTCCTACAGATGGGATGCAAAAAGAGTTAGAAGGGAAGAGGCAGCATCTTTATTTGTGGACACTGACCGTCCACAGGGAAAATGCGAGAGACTCACAAACAATGCTCAGATCATGCATGCATCTACCCATTAGTAAGGATCCCACACAGCACAGGCCAGGGAAGAAGGCCATTCATAATGCAGGGGAAACGGAGGGCTCCAGGGCTACATCCAGCAAAAAAAAAAAGTAAGACCCTTCATCATGGGAATAGCTGGGACCTGCAGCAGCCTCCTGAACCACCCCTCAGAGGTCCAGGGCAGGGCGGACCCACAGGGGCAACTAGATCCCCAGTGGGATACCTGCAAGTCACCGCAAGCCCTGACAGAAACCCTGAAGGTTAGTGCTAGAGAAACTTCAGAGCATCAAAGCACAGGGAGCAGAAAGCCCCAGGATTAGGAAGAGCGAGCGCGGCCCATTCCCTAGTAGCCACCAGCTTAAAGAGTAAGCAGTACAGAGGAACATACACAGGGTGCAGGATGGGAGCCAGGGGCCCAGAACAGCCCCACACAGGGTCCTGACACCACACAAAGGCAGAGATGGCCAGGTCCAGGCAGAAAGATGGATTAAGCAGTAAAAACACCAGGACCTCAACTGCTAACACAGCCAGACTCCTTTCAGCCTAGAGCCAGAGAGAGACACCTAGAGAGGGGCTCCCCAGACATCCTTCAAACAGTGCACACCCTGCACTACCACACACACTGTGCACCACGCACACAACGCATACACCACACAGAGCACACAGACCATACCCTACTAATTACCACAACTTACATACTACACATCCCACACACACACATCCCACACACATGATAAACACAATGCACATCACACAAAACCATACATGTAATACAAATATGCACTATACATACTCCTCATATATACACCATACATACAAACATGTCACACACCATGCACACACTCCCTCAACTCCACGCACAGCACACAAACAGCACAGACACATGCTACACATGCACACACACCATGCCTTATCACCCTTAGCACTAACACTAAGTGTCTGCTGCCTCCTACCCTGGTGAGTCCTGCACCTTTATCCACTGCCACAGGATAGAGTGGACACCCTGGGGGGGACACACACATATCTCAGCAGGGTCCCCGGAGCAGCCCTGGGCTCTGGAGGTTTGGAGACAGCTCTGCTGCTGCGTAGACGGCACTGCTCCTGCTCCTCTGGGGAAGGTCCACTCCCTGACTGGCCCAGAACTTAAACCATCTACCAACCTGCAGCCTAAGCAGCCCTTCCCGCTCCAGGACAAGGCCTATGGGAGTGGGCCATGATCAGCCCAAGGGTATCTACTCGAACCTTCTCACTGGCACTGGGACCCCAATGCAGCTCCTTCCTCTCCTCCCCTGGAGCCTGCAGGAGAGGGTGGCTGTTTAATTCTCAAGCATAGAGATGGGAATGGAGGATTTAGAACTGACTCAATGTCCCACCTGCTGCAAGGAACAGGTATAGCTGAAAGGCAGGGGAATAGCTACAGCTGGAGGACTGCAGGGAAGGCCCAAGCAGGTCCCCCTGTGTGCCCACTGTGCCTAGCAATAGAAGGAGTGGCTTCAGGTGAAAAATCTGCCTCAGGGCATGGCTCCAGATAGGACAGGACAGGATGGCTACACTTGGCCTCCTTAGCCCTCTTGGTTCAAGAGGAGAGAATGGAACCCAAGGGCTGGGCTGTAGAAAGGTCACTCCAAATCCAATGTCCTGCAAGGGCCACCCCTGACAGAACCAGAAGGGCCCAAGGAGAGCAGGAGGAGCATGGGGAACTGAAGGGTGGTGCTGCCCTAGGGACAGAGCCACCTTCTGGGAGGGGCTTCTAAAGGCCCAGCGCTCTGGGAGGAAGATGAAGATTACCTGGGGGAGCCAGTCCAGGGCTGGTTGACCTGTGTGGCACTGTTAGACCTTCGAAGGTTGTTGATGGCCCTGGAGCTTCCGGGCCCTGCAGCCTCCTACAGAAAGAGAGAAAGCAGCCCATTCAGTGGCAAAGGTCTCAGACACTCATCTGCCACCTCAGTACCAGGCTAGGCCCTGAAGAAATGGTTAGAATAGAGGGGTGATAGGTAAGTAGGGACATAGGACCAAAGGCCAGTGGGGGGACATGGTCATGGGTAGGGGAAGGCCCTGGCATTGACACCTCAACTTCCTGCTCAAGGCAGAACCATCTGTACCTGCAGAGTGAGAGGCTGTGCAGTTGGCCAGAGACTGCTCCTCACTATCACCATTGTCACAGTGAGCTCTGGGAATGGCAAGAAGAGAGCAATGGGCCCTTCAGCCCCCAGTGTGTCCCAGGGGTGCTCTGGGCTCACTGTGAGGGTTAATGTGGACACTCTGGCACTGTGGGCCTACGGTGGCAGATAGGAGGGCATCAACAGCCTGCATGCTAATGAAGTTAGTATCTTAGAAACAACAAAGGTGCTAATCACTGTCCTCTGGGGCCCCAGGTGGAAAAAGGGTGTTTTGGAATGGCAGAGGAACATCAGATGCCACTGTGGAGTCACAAGATGTCCGTGGAGAAAGTCTACTTCCTAGGTAAGAGAAATGGTGGGCCTAGGAGACAGCCTATGCCATCCACAGTTTGTTCCAACAAGGTGGGGGCCCTGACTGTCACTGGACCCCACAGTGGCTCATCGGTACACATTATACTACGCTTCCACCTTTTCTGTAAGCTTAAAAATATTCCAAATGAGGGCCGGGTATGGTGGCACACCTATGTAATTCCAGCACTCGGAGGCTGAGGCAGGAGGATCATTACAAGTTCGAGACCAGCCTAGGTTACAGAGTGAGCTAAAGGCCAGCCTGGGGGCCAGGGAGACAGCTCAGTAGCATAAGCACTTGCCTGGCAAGTACAAGGGCCTGAGTTCAATCCCTGGTTCCACAAAAAAAAAAAAAAAGAAAAAAGGCCAGCCTGAACTGCATGGAGTCCCTGTCTCAAAAAAAAAAAAAAAAAAAATCTTCCAAATGAAATCTTGGGGTAAAAGGTCTCAAATCCAGTGGGGCACACTGGGGTTCCCTACCCCATGCCACATGGCAGGTTACACTATTAGATGTGACCTGGCCGGTGTTCATCCCCAAACAATGAGACCCCCCCCCAAAAAAAAATCTACAGACTTAAAATTCTTCAAGTATTTTAAAATCTGAATCCTTAAGCTAAAAACTAACTACCCAACCAAAATAAGACCAAGAGAAAACAAACAAACAAACAGGGAACATGAAATCCCACTACAATTTGCCATGGGCCTTTCCTCACATCATGAAATCATTTTCTTTCTTTTCTTTTGGTTTTTTGAAAGAGGATCCTGCTATGTTGCCCAGGATAGCCTCAAATTGATGCAATCCTCCTGCCTCAGCCTCCTGAATACTGAGACTACAGGTGTGTGCTGCTGCACCCAACATGAAACTGTTTTCTTAAGTAGGGAAATAGTAGGTTAGGAGAAGCCATTTTGGACGAAGGTGCTGAAGTGACACCGGTTGCGAGTGGCCTCTTCCCTAGAAGGAACCTGTGCTTGCCAACCAGGCTGCAAACAGGAGACCACTGAAAGAACACAAAATGCCAGTACCAGAGGCTGCTGCCAGGGCCCTGCTGGGGATGCCGGGCTCAGTCAGTTTTTGTGAATGTCCCAGCTGGGCTGCTAGAGACGCCAGGCCAGCCACTGAAAAGGCATAAGAGAGGACAGCACCTGTGTGGTAAGGACAAGCCCTTTGCCTCGGGCTTCTGGGAGGTGACTACTAAGGCCCCTGAGTATCCCACCTGAGCAGGCTTACTGGGGCCCAAGGCCACCTTTTTGGTCCAATAGCGTGACTTACAGCATGGGGTTAGAGTCCCAGCAGGAAAGCAATGTGGGAGGATGCGGTCCAGAGCTATCACTGAACCTGTAGGGCTGAAGACGGGTCAGCCACGTGGGTGCCATTTGGGCCTCTACAGGGCTGAGGTGCACCCTAGGCTGGCAATGCTTTGAGCATGTTGTCACCATCCACCCAAGCCAGGAAGGCAAGTCTGTGCCTACATGGCAGGACAGGACAATAGAGGCTCCATATTCGACCCTCCCGAACTCTCTTTCTCTGAGCTGTTTAGTTTGCATTCTTTCCCTATCATAAACTGTTACTATGTCAGCTCTCATCAGCCTGGGGGGTCCTTCTAGAAAATTACTGAACAGAAGGTGGTCTTGGGGACCCCCAGACAGGCTGCTGGTGACGAAAGTGAGAGTGGCTTATGGAGACTATATGCCCTCTGAGGCAGGCAACCCTTCTGAGGCTGTGCTGTGCTGTGGAGCAGCTGGGGTGGCTGCGGTCCAGCCCTGGAGGAGACGCGTGGTGAGCATGGAGAAGCAGCGCAGGGGGCCGCTGCTGAGTGCAGTTTGGGCTCGGGGCATACTTCTGCACAGCTGCAAGGAGACCTAAACAAAGGACAGAATGACACCACAAGAAAACACTTGGGAGAATAGAGGGATTTGTTCTAATGGTGTTTGTAAATAGGATATCATGTCCGCATCTTGTACAGCAATTAACCACTAGGAAGAATGTATGCAATGTGTGAATTATTGAAACTGTCCTACCAATTTGGTTTGAAAAAAAAAAAAAAGATATGGCCTTTTGATACAATGAAGTACTACTCAGCTATAAAGAAGCATAAACTGGAGACTTTTATAGGTAAATGAATACAACTCGAGATCATACTCAAAGTGAAATAAATCTGACATACATTTCACTGTATTGTCTCCCTATTGTGAGAAGCTGAAAGAGTAAATAAGATCCATAATGTACAACAGATACTGTAAAATGGGAAGAAATTTCAAAAGAAAAGAGAAAATGGTATGGTGTAATGGAGAAAAGAAGTGGAAAAATATACAAATGATAGTTAAGATAGTTTTACTACTGATTTCTTTTTATTGAAAAGAAAGCTTTCTGGGGGCTGGTGAGATGTCTCAGTGGTCTAAAGCACCTACTTAGAACAAGCTTAGCAAAGCACAGGGACCGCGGTTCAATCCCCAGCACCACATGCCAGCCAGCCCCGCCCCCTGGTGGGCTGAGCTGGTCACACACACATACACAAATAAACAAATAAATAAATAATTTTAAAAAAAAAAAAGAAAAGAAAGCTTTCTGCTAATATTGTTGGACTATTAAATATCAATGTCTTGTCCTTTGATTCATTAAAGATAACAGTATGTAAAGTAAAAAAAAAAGAAAAGAAAACACTTAGGAACTCAGCTTTGTTTGTGATATAAACCACAAACCACGGGAAAAAAAAAAAAGAAAAGTCAGCAAAGGGTAAGATCAGCCCATAGAGAAGGGAAGATAAATGGCTCTTAAACACATGACAAGCTACTCAGCTCACTCCCAGAGGAACGTAGGCAAAGCGCTATAAGGCAGAGGGCACTGGGAGGACCCATGTGACAGTGGCATGGCCTGCGTGACAATGGCTTGTGAAGCAGAGCACAGGAGGGCAGAGGGACTGAGAGGTGCTGGCTCCACTGATGACACTGTTCCTGCAGGCGAGGCCACCGATCCCAACAGCACCTTGCCAGTTCATTGTAAATAAACCAGAATCTGAGGGAGGAGAGAGGGGCCGGGTCCCCAACTTAGGGTGCCACAGATGAGCAAGGGGAGAGGTAACATCTGTCCACGTGATGTGGGATAGCTGGAGACCTCAGCAGAAACTCATGCTGTATCTTAACACAGGGACAGATGGGGACACAGAGAAACAGCAACCTGTGCATGTACGCACGCGCGCACACACAGAGGAGGGCCCAGCGCCTGGATCTCAATCTAACACTACTCTCCCATAGCAGGGACCAGGGCTACCTAGAGAAATGGCCTGACTTGGAATTGGAGTGGGAAACATACTGATAAAGCTAAGTAGTCTGTAGGACCAGAAAAGAAGGAATTACTCAAAAAACCAAAACAATGACCCACCAGACGAGCACCCTTCCCACAACCTCTGTATTTAAATGGGCTGGGGGGGGGCTGATGTGATCCATTCAAAAAATAGCATAAGGGTTGAGGAGATAGCTTGGCAGGCTAAGCGCCTGCCTGGAAAGCACAAGGACCTGGGTTTGATCCCTGGTATCACAAGCCGTGCCAGCCCAGCACCATGCTGTGCCAGCCACTGAAACTGGGCATGGTAGCACACACCTGTAATCCCAGCGCTGGGGAGGCTGAGACAGAAGGATCACTATGAGTCTGAACTGTATAGCAAGACTCTACCTAAAAAAATAAATTTTTTTTGAAAAATAGCATAAGGAGCATTTCTGAAACAAAACAGTGCTGGCCACTATGTCAAGGTGACGGACTGTGGGTGGTCACCACCTTTTGTCCATCTTCCTGGCAGCAGTTTTGCCACCTTCCTGCCTAGAACCACAGATGTCAGGGAGAAGGAATGTCCTGAGGTCAGTTAAAAGCATCAAGGTGGAAAGAAAGTTCTCAAACGGTAACCAAAGTCACAGTCAGGGGACCAAGAAATGGAGGAAGGCAGAAAGGAAGAGAAGAAGCAAAACCATGCGCTGTGTGCATGCACACAGCTCCCTCCCATGAATGCAATTACTGTGTATGGTAAACTAAGACCTCCTGAAAAACCCCAAACTAAAGACACTGAATGCCACCTGTACACGGGCCAGGACATCCAAGAGTGCGGGACATCGTCTAGGGACAGAGCTGCTACATGGCTGTGATACATACATGGTGACACTTGCTCTATCAACACGCTTTGACTCTTGAGATGTAAAGACCTTTTTCCCCTCCAAGGAAGGGGACTGGAGTGATGCAGAGTACAATGTGACCACCTGGCCAGCAGGGAGGAGGACGCTCTGGGTCTTACATCAGTGTCACCTGAGCCACTGAGTCAGAGACTTCCTCCCGGATGAGGAAGCTTGGGGCAGAGGTTCTGGGTTGGGGGAGGTATCTGGAGACAAAGGCCAGAATAGAAGCATCAGGCTAGGGTTGGGAAGACAGCTCAGCGGCATAAGCACCTGCCTGGCAAGCACAAGGTCCTGAGTCCAATCCCTGGTACCAAAAAAAAAAAAAAGAAAGAAAGAAAAAGAAAGGAACGGCATGAGCATTTCTTCAAGGCTGGGACTTGTTTGCTTCCACACTCCACGACGGCGCAGTGGAAGGTGCCAGCCAGAGGAAAGGATGAACGCTCACTTTGGCTATGAATGAGGGATCAGGAAGAGAATATTTTCCTACAGAAAGTAGAAGAGATGGTCAGGTGCCTGAGCAGCCACAGGGGTAGCCTGAGCACACAGCTGAGGGACCGTCTGCACTGACTGCTAGCAGGGGCCACAGCTCTCCAATATTGTCCCTGTAGAAGCAGCTCTGCAGTGTCCCTTGTATTGTCCCAGACCCAGACCCCCTCCCAGGGCTTCAAAAGCAGATCAGTGACCCAAGGCCAAAGCTTGGGCCCCTGCTGCTTGAGTTGGTCATCCCCCAGCTGACGCAGCGGAGTGTATCTGACGGAGTGTCTGTCATAAGTGACCTGGAAGGGCATCCTAGCTCCCTGCTCTACAGGCTACAGGATTTAGGAACTTGTTTAGACAATAGGTCCTCCACTGGGCAGCGGTCAGATTGACACCAGCAGGCCCTAGCCTGTCTGACACAGGAATGCGATGAGCCTTTCACCCACAGAGGAATCAGTCTGCACCCATCAGGCAAGCCTTGATGCCCCTTGTACATGGCTGCCTGCTCCACTACTGTGACCTCCACACAGGCCTCAGTCCTTGCAAGGCAGGGAGCCTGGGGCCAGTTCATTGGAGCTAAGCCTCCAGGCTCCAGCTATTCTAGAAGCTGAGGTCAGCCTGGGAGCACAGTGCCTCCAGAGCACTCATTGTCCCCCACCCCTGGCAGGCAGCAGCTCAGGCAGCAGGACAGGCCTCCCTCATCTCTCAAAGCCACTTCCACCCATTGGAGGCAATCCATTTCCCTGCCCTGCAGAGACGGACAGGAAGAAGAAAGGTGGCTCTCACTCCACCCACCTGCACCTCAACATCACCCAAGGCCATGGGAGCACATCACCTCCCCCCTTACAGATCAATCCTATTTCTTTTTTTTTTTCATAATTTTATTGATAAACAGATAGCAATGAGACAGTTTCAAATCAAATCACTAGGACAGTTTCAATAACTAACACACTGCATACATTCTTCTTAGTGGTTAATTGTTGTACAAGATGTGGACTTGAGATCCTATTTACAAACAACATTAGAACAAATCATTCTATTCATTAAGAGAATGTAACTATATATCTATCCCATCCACTTTGAATACACAGATACAAAATGGACATTCATCTGTATACCCCTTTTTTTCTAAGTTTCGTTATTTGAATATTATAGGTGTGTAAACTCAGCAAAATATTCTAAAAGAGTCCAGTAGCCCTTAGCAGCAATGGGTCTTCTGTTTAACTGGCAATGTCAGAAATTATTGACCTGAGTCCCCCACAGCTCAACAGAACAGCATGGCTTTACTTCCTATATTTCGTCTTCATATTTTTCTACTGGATGGTTAAGACCAAGGTAAAGCAGGACCTATGCAACAAGAGTTGTAGCTTTTGGGTCTGAGAAGGTCAGTGAAGTCCTCTCAGGATTTATCCTGAGATCCTGTACCTCAGATTGTAGAACCTTTATCAGTTTCAGCCATGTGGATGAGTCACGGCCATTGCTTGGCCAATGTGCTCTCTGTGAAAGCCTGAGAGAATGTTTTCTCTCCATGTGACTCTCCTTAGGCACACTCTACATCATCGATCACTTTCCTCTTTGACCCCATAATCTCCTTGATCACAAAATTTGGGACACTACCGAGGTCAATCCTATTTCTTGAGGCTCCAAGCAAAGCTAGAGGAAAGCACAGTGCCAGAGCACAGGCTGGTGCTGGGTGGGGATGGGCTCTGCCTCGACCTCTCTGAGAGTCCGTGGAACTGTCCCTAAAGCTGGATGCCACTGATGACAACCCTCCAAAGTCACAAGACCCAGGACCCATCCACCCTAGCCCCAGCACTCACCAGCGCTTTCCTCCTGGGCTCGCTGCCTGTGGCCACAGAGACAGAGCGCACGAAGGGCTTAGTGGCTGAAGCACTGCTGGGGCGCCGGGACAGCGGTGGAGGAAGGCCGGTCAGACTCAGGTCTGCACATTCAGGGCTGCCTTCAGGGGCACTTCTGATAGCCCTGGAGCTTTTCATGGCAGACAGTGGGCCCTGAAAGGAAGTGAGAGATGAAGTAGAACACCCTGGAGAAACCAAAGGCCCTGGCAAGGCTTCAGACACCCAAGGACAGGGGCCCATATGCTTGCCTCATGGAGGGCAGGACCCTACAACAGACCATCCTAAACTCATCTTGGATGTGGGGCTGGGCAGGAGGGCTCTGAGGATGAGCATGGGGGCTATGGAGGCTGGTGTCACAGGCACAGGCCAGCACTTCACAGGATGGCCAGGGGCAGCAGACAGTCGTGAGTATGAGCAGGCTCTGCGCTTCAGTGCCACTTCCATGACCCTGAGTCAGGAACTCCACCTGTCTAGACAGCTCTCGTCTATAAAACAGGGGGCTAAAAACTGCGAGTTGGGCCAAGAGTGGTGGTGCAGGCCTATAATCCGAGCACTCTAGGAGACTGAGGCTGGAAGACCCAAAGTGCAAGCTCAGCCTGAGTAACTTAGTGAGATCCTGTCTCAAAAATTTTATATAAGAGGCCAGGGAGATGGCTCAGTGGAATAAGTGCTTCCCTGGCAAGCGCAAGGGCCTGAGTTCAATCCCCAGTTCTGCCACAAAAAAATAAATAAAAAT